AGATGGTCAGTGACGGGTCTCTGGAACATAATCAAGGCTTTAAGATCCTTCTAAGAATTTGCTGATTCTTGGCTGACTACAGAGGTTCTGTTTCATAGAACCATAGAATCATGTATACACACAAACACACACACACACACACACACACACACACACACACACACAGTGGTACCTCGTGTTACATACGCTTCAGGTTACATACGCTTCAGGTTACAGATTCCGCTAACCCAGAAATAGTACCTTGGGTTAAGAACTTTGCTTCAGGATGAGAACAGAAATCGTGCTCTGGCGGCACAGCGGCAGCAGGAGGCCCCATTAGCTAAAGTGGTGCTTCAGGTTAAGAACAGTTTCAGGTTAAGAACAGACTTCCAGAACAAATTAAGTACTTAACCCGAGGTACCACTGCGTGTGTGTGTGTGTATATATACACACACACACACCACTTAATCAGAAAGTATCTCTAAGCAGTTTACATCCCAATGTAAATTATTTAAAAAAACAAAAAGGAATAAAAATATTTTAAAAAGCAGACAATAACATTATCGATACCAGCAGCTCCCCATTTACACAGGGGTTACGTTCTGAGGCACCGCACATCTAAGTGAAATCATGTATATTTACTATTTCAAACCCACATTTACTGTTTCAAGCCTGATGTGCTCTATCACAAACTTGGTTCAAATGGACACATTCCAGTATGTATTTGACCTTTTCAGGGAGAGGCTGATACAAAGCAAAGCATTGGCAAAACTGCATACAGGGAAGAGAATTAGGAAGGAGGCAATTTGCCAGTTACCCAGAAGGAATCACTGGTCTACATCATTTGACATCTTTATGTCTAATACATAGTTTTCAACAAGGAGCAAACGGCTTCAGGTGCAACAGGAATCGTAGAATTGGAAGGGACCATGAGGATTGTCTAGTCCAATGAAGGAATCTTTTGCCTAACATGGAGCCTGAACCCACAGCCCTGAGATGAACAATCTCTTGCTCTACTGACTGAGCTAGGAGAAGTAAAGAGGAATCTCATCTTAGACACTCCCCCCTCCAACTCCCTATGCCTTTGTCCTTTTACGAGTTCCAAACGGCTATAAATAAATGCGTAAATAATGTTGTAGTATTCATTGGCGATATTTCAAACTGACACCAAGCTTTTCAAAGGAAAGAGGCTGCAGGTAGAATGTGATTTATATTGTAACTAACGGTTGCTATATTCATCCTAACAAGACAGATGGGAAAGTAATATCAGTCAGAAAACACCAATTCAACCTGTCCGGAAGTATTGAAATAATATGAGCTGACAGTTTAAGTTATCATTTTGCGAAAACTTCAGAAAAATTACTTGGCGCCTGCTATTCTCTTTATGCCCCATCTCTCGGAGAATTGGTTCTAAATTAGAAATGAGGCTTCAGAGTGAGCAGCATTCAAAACGTAAATTAAAAAGTGGAAAAATTAAAAAGGAAACTGTGGAGACCCTGGTTTCAAAAGTTACCCAGGCTCATTTTTCAAATGACAGCAACATCTGAAGGACGCAATTTATATTTGGTTCTCCACAACGAATGAAAGGCGGCGGAGGTAAATAACGTTTCATAAAATATCGATTTTGAGCGTTGTCTGTTGCTATGCTGATATATCAAAGTAGAGCTAAAAGCTGCAAAAATAACAGGAAACAAAAAAACAAAAATAGGAATCTCTGAACAATGTTACAGGGTTACCACAGAAACAGTGGTCAATGGTAGGAGACCTTAATGCTCATTTAACCAGACTTCTGAATGAGTAAAATAATAATAATAATAATAATAATAATAATAATAATAATAATAATTTATTATTTATACCCTGCCCATCTGGCTGCATTTCCCCAGCTACTCAGGGCAGCTCCCAGAAGAATATTATTATTAATATTATTAATAATAAGAATAAGTGATAAAACATCAAACATTAAAAGCTTCCCTAAACAGGGCAGCCTTCAGATGTCTTCTAAAAGTCAAACAGTTGTTTATTTCCTTGACATCTGATGGGAGGGCGTTCCACAGGCTGGGCGCCACTACCAAGAATGCCCTCTGCCTGGTTCCCTGTAACTTCGCTTCTTGCAGTGAGGGAACCACCAAAAGGCCTTCAGAGCTGGACCTCAGTGGGAGGGGGCCACTACCGAAAAGGTCCTCTGCCTTTTAGTGGAACTCACATGCTTGGCATGACTTTGCAATTGAAGGAGTCAAATGAAAGGTGTCAAAGGCATTTGTGCAATTCAGGTTGAATATGAGTAGACCTGCAGGACTGATGGATGGGTATGGGCCTCTCTCTTTATGTGTGTGTGTGTGTGTGTGTGTGTTTGGGTTTTCACACATGTCCCTATCACTATCTGCATTTTGAGCATAGTGGGGACTATACAAATTCCTCAGGGGGCGGCGGGGGGGGGGGGGGAATCAGCACCACAGTGCTTCCACTCTAACATCCAGGACAACTATAGTTTACAAAGGATTAACAAGTGTAGTTCTGTTTGCGATGCACCTACAAAGCTCTTACCCGTTTTCAGCACTCGCGTGGACCGCAGACACAATACTTTCTAATATCTGGAAAGGATCTTTTTTGAAAGGAGACTGGCCACCGCTTTCACTATTGAGGGAAAGAAACGAAAGCAAGGTTGTAGAAACACACGCTTCAGAAAAAAACATTTCAGAATCCTTAATGCTGAAGAGTGTGTAATTCTATGCTATTTATCCAGCAGCAAATCACGGCAAATGGCACATTTTCCTACGCGGATGTTGCCTTTTATCACTGTCACAACAAATAAAAAAGGAAATATGAAGCTATAATGCCAGACCCCCAATTATGCCAAAGGGAGAAAGACTGGAATAATTTGTTGCCAGAGTTTTACTGTATTTGCTCGCCGTAAGTCACCATAAAACTCACGGGTGAAGTCAGACTCCCATACCACTTTTGCTGAATGGCTTGTGTGTTGAGAAGCAGAATCTAGCGCATGAACCGGGGGCTAGCAAACTGCTCATGAATGCTTGAGCCCCCACCAGAAATTTCACTCCCTTCTATTCCTTTGCCATGTTGCAAAAAACTTATCTTCAGGCTAGAGTAGGGTTGCCATACATTCAGGAAATCCCAGACATGTCTCTTTTGGGGGGCCAACATGCTCATCTGGGGGGATTCTCACAATTTATAGCAATTGTCCGGGTTTTCAGAAAAAAATTGTATGTGGCTCTGGTTCAGGTTCGGGTTCAGTCTTGGGCGGCCTGGGCTCTGGCTTGGTCTTGGGCTCAGCAGTGGCTCAGGCTCAACAACTTTTTGTGTCCAGATTTTTACCTCATAAATATGGCAACCCTAGGCTAGGGAGAAGGTGGCAGCAGTGGAAATGGCAGGGGGTCCCCGAGCATGTTTCCACGCCTGGGACAAAACTACCGGTCTCATTATCCCTGGTAGAAAAATTGTCAGCCTGCGCGTCTCTCCCACATGTGGTTTTTCTTCATCAGGCTATGAAACTAGGTACTTGGATCAGGGGACAGGGGGAAGCAGTGAGTGGGAAGAATCAAGATGAGCAGTGCCTGGTTCACCCCTTTCCACAGCAGGCCCAGGAAATGCCTTGATACTTTTTTGTGCACATTTGAACTGGGGTACTGAAGTAATAGGGATGCGGGTGGCGCCGTGGGTTAAACCATAGAGCCTAGGACTTGCCGATCAGAAGGTTGGCGGTTCGAATCCCCATGACGGGGTGAGCTCCCGTTGCTTGGTCCCTGCTCCTGCCAACCTAGCAGTTTGAAAGCACGTCAAACTGCAAGTAGATAAACAGGTACCACTCCGGCAGGAAGGTAAACGGCGTTTCTGTGCGCTGCTCTGGTTTGCCAGAAGCAGCTTAGTCATGCTGGCCACATGACCCGGAGGCTGTACGCCGGCTCCCTCGGCCAATAAAGCGAGATGAGCGCCGCAACCCCAGAGTCGGTCACGACTGGACCTAATGATCACGGGTCCCTTTACCTTTACTAAAGTAATGTTGATTGTGGTTTAGGGGAGATCAAGTTGGAGAGCCTTCTCTGTCTTTGACTCCAGAGTGTCAAACCTAGAAATGACTGCCATTCCCTGGCCAATACATGACAATTTAGGCAGGTGGTTCCTGATTAGTTTATAGGTGGGGTCCCCCCCCCTTTGTTGGATTAAATCCAGGAAATATATTTCAGAGCTTTTCATTAATGGAATGTGGGTTAGGTGGGCCTCATGTAAAACCTAAGCATTCAATTAAATTTAAGAATACGCTTTCAAGGGTCTGTGGGAGTGCAAATGTAACTTACCTTAAAGCACCCACCACTTTATTTACCGCTGTCCTTACTATATCGCTAGGCGAGAGTCCCAGATCTCCAACAGCAACATCCAATAGTTTCTGTATCATATCCAGGGGCTGACCATCTATACACATAGTTACAGCTTGCTCATTGATTTTCTCTTTTTCTGACCGGGATAAATCATACTGGTGCCCATATTCTCTTAGTATGTCCTGGAGAGAGAGAGGTATTTTAAACGCACATGGAGCAGTCAACTTTTCCTTTGCGGGATTTATGCTCAATAGGTCAACCTTAATTAAAACTTCAGATTCCGCTGCTCACTGAAGACACAAGAAAAGACCTTCCCAAAACACTCGAAACAGAAAGCTCTAGACTGCACACCAATAAATTACAACAGGGGCTATTACTTCCATCACTGCACAAAGCAATTTTAGGAACTAATCAGATAAGACTAGAAAGTCATAATGCTGTTTTAAAAATTTCCATGCTTACGTATTTCTGTGTAGTTTTCTACTGCTTTTAGTATAAGTGGGCTTTACAGCACCCTGAAACTGGATTTGATGTGATAAACTGTGTCCAAAGGATGTTACTGCATAGTTGGCTACCATAATATAATACAAGTATTAAATGGCCGTGGGTTAGACTCAGAATTATAGAGTTCTGAGTCTCCTGTAATGCTCCAACGTTCTGTAATGCTGGAATTCTGCCCACAGCCATCCCTGGGTGGGCTTGAACCTCCAACCATCTGGTTAACAGTCAGATGTACTGACCCACAGCACCACTGGACGAATTGTATCCAATGCTCCCAAGTCCGCTAGTGCAAGGGCCTTTAAGGTAGTGGGGGTTCATTTCTCCAAGTTGCACAGCAGGGACACTACTTTTTTTTACTTTCCTATCCTCTACAAATTGAACATAGAAATGCAAACTTTCCACCTGTGGAATCTTTGGCCCAAGCGGATCTCCTTTTGCAAGATGCTAGCAATATAACCTCATCATCAATTCTTTATGACAATGCTATGCTGGATACAACCCCATAAAATATTAACTCAACACTGCCAACATTATTTTATTGGAGGTCAGGTGGGTCAAAACAGAGTCAAGGAACTCCAACTGCGGCTAAGTTCTCATGAAGTTTCAGGAGGTTCTCAGCTAACTTCTTCCAGAAACATTCACGGAGAAAGGATTCCAGTTGTCTCCAATGGTGGCTTTGCCTTAGCAGAAAGTGCTTCCCCTCACATAAGTCAAGGCACCCGATTTTCACGGAACCCCACCCTCAATTCAGCCCTCTACACCATATCCCATTCTGTTTCAGAAGACCCCATAGCCATCAGGAACAGTGCAGGTGGTGTGGTGTTAAGTGGGTAGGAGAGAGGAAATCAAACCCAGTCACCATCAGATACAACCCTGTTAATCGAAAGAGCCGTGTCAAAAAACATCCATTTTAAAAATGTACCTACCATAGGTATCTCATGTATTCGAAGAATGAAACTTTAAAGGTACATTGAAAGTTAAGGCTCTCATACCTGAGCCCCTGTGCTGTATTTTTGAGGAACTGTTTAAAGAGTAAAGGAATGGGGGATTGGTTTTTTTTTATGAAATCCAGAAACACCAAGTCCAGTAAAACAACATGAATGAGACAGAACAGCTGGTGGTGGGAACGAAACAGCCACTAAGTGTTAAATTAAATAATAAAATGGGAAATGGGTAACAAGTACATATATATAATGCACATCAATTTCTGACTTTTTTCTTCTGGGTTTCTGGGGTTTTTCCTGTTGTTATTCCGTCTCTCACAGCTACAATAAACCTACCATTAAAATTATGGACTGGTTATTTCTTCGTCAGAGGGCAAACGGGCAAATTTAGCAGGGGATCAAATACTTCCCTCCCTCACCGTATAGGCAGATGACTTATCAACCATGTTACCAATTTATTTGGGCCCAAGAGTAGACTGCTAAACATTAAGTAGTATCAAGGTGGCTTGCAACAATAAACATACAATATATAAGATATCTAAAAACTGTTTCCCAAAATGATACTGCCAGTGAGCCAACCCATTCTTCTGAGAAAGCCTATAGAAATGCACATGTGTGTGTGTGTTCAGCATCGCAAATAATTATTATGTGTAACACTGATTTGGTCAGTTTTTTTCATTAAAAAATCATTTACCTGGTCACTGTTTTTAAGGGAAGAAATAAAGCTATGGCTAAGTGTTTCCAGGTGTGCGAGAGATTGCTGTAGGTGACTCAAAGCATCTTCATAAGTGATTTGCCTGCCAGGCATGTCTTCTGCATGGTCTCCCTCAGAGGACCTTTTCCCAGCTTTTTCGGCGATGTGTTTCACTGACTTAATAGCCTTCCTCGTCATCTCTACCCGGGAATCAACCGACAGCTGAGAAAAGATAATGCACGTTTCATCATAAATTGTCACATGCAATGCAAGGTGTATCTGGATACAAATGAGTAGTTGAGCAAAACATAAACACTGATTAAGGTAATTGTCTTTGCTTCTAAAGGACAAGAATGTGTTAAACATAACAGAAAATGTGAAAGAGAGCAGCTTTGTTACTTAAAAAGAGCCATTCCTTTCAAGTTTCTAATCCCATGTTAGCTCGTTCTTTTGTCCTGCCTACATCTTCTTGAGCGATTCCATTATCTAACTTTAAAAGTCTTCATTTTTAAAAAAAGAACCAACACAAATAACTTCCTCTCCTAAAGCATTATAGTCTGTAACAATCTTGAGGCATAACTTTGTATATGCTTTAAATGGTTTCAAAAATTCATTTGAAGCTACCAGCTGGAAGTTTTCCACTCTCATTGGAAGATGATTTTAAAAAAATAAAAAATAAAAATTCATGTTAAATATTCATGTTGAAAAGGGTGACTAAGCAGAAAGGCAGCAGAAGGCCTGTACAATTCCATTTTCTTCTTCTAATGAATCTACCTCAAAGGCGCACAGTGGTTTCCAGCCAATTACACAATGCGGCTTTCATTATATTCCTAGGATTGGATGCACCACCTCACAAAACCACATTGTTTCAGGTGAGGTGATGGACTGCAGCGTGCCACAGGTACGTGTCCATCGACTGTGAGTGAGAAATTGTTGCCCCAGAAAGGTACCAACATATTAAATAACATTTCTCAGCTACGACGTCAGTCCTGAACCATAAACTATCCTCAACAGCAGGGCAAGCTACTCTTGAGTATACCTCCTACAAGGTGAGCTATTTTTAATTCATTCGCAGTGTGTCCACTGGCCTGGAGAAAGAGAAATTGAGTTTTTATCCCACTGGCCCATTTATCCTCAGGCTTTATAGTTCTTGAATGCCCAATATGCATGATAAATTCCAGTTCATGTACTTCATTGGGCTGTCTTCATCTTTTATGTGGTGTTTTTAGCACGCGGAGTGCTGTAACGCGCCTTCCATAAGCTAATGCATAACTATTTATTTAGCTTGCAAATAACTTGACTCGTTCCAAAGGCCAAGGCCAAGGAACTATGCTCGTATAACAAAGGGTCTGCAAAACACACGGAATGTGTTTATGTTTCATTCGTTCATCGCCTCGTACCAAAACATTATCACAGTAACTTAATTCGCAGAGCAGAGTATACAGTACAAATGGAGCAGTTACATAAAAAATTAAAGCACAACTGTTACTGTATTCCTTTCGGCGTCTGCTAAAAGAATTCTTGTTTAGACAAGCTTACCCAGATGCTTCGGAAGTTGGCTTGAATTTTAATCTGTTTTAGTATTTTAAGTTTTTGTACGTTTTAACGTTCATCGTTTTATCTTTTCATAGACACTTTTGAGGGCTCCCCCCCCTTCTTATAATCAAGCGGTGTATAATGGTTATAAAGTAAACAAACAAATAAAAATGATCATACATTAAATCTCCCAAATGAAGAACCACCCCCTGCCCCGCTGCGTATTCTCATAAAAACCCACCAAGCAGCAGAAAGTTAAGAATAAAATGTCTGGGAGAAGTGGGAAAATGTTACTGTCAGTTCCAGGCAAGACTCCTAAGTCAGGGTGGACACTACATAAAGGGTCCTCACTCTTATTTCTACTGTCCACGCTTCTGCTGGAAAAGGCACGCTTACTTGGGAGCAAGCCCCCTTTAAGCTCAGTGGGGCGCGTATGTTTTGAGTAGACACATATACAATTGCACTGCCCGTGTACGAACGCTTACAGACAAGCTCTCAAAAGTGCAGGAGCCATGGGAACACTTCTTGGGGACATCTTCAGCATGGGTAGGCAAACTAAGGCCTGTGGGCCGGATCAGGCCCAATTGCCTTCTGGATCCGGCCCGTGGACTGTCCAGGAATTGCCGTGTGGATCGCCAGCATGCGTGTTCTTTCCCTCTCCCTCCCTCTGTCTCACACAGTGCCGGCGCCTCCTCCCTCCCTCCTCCTGGCTTCTCCCTGCCCTGCCTAGAGGAGGAAGGGGTCTGGGCTTTGTTGGTGCCAGCAGCAGCAGCACTCGAGCGGCCGCCATTTTAAGCAGCCCCTCTCTGGAGCCCTTTCGCGTGCCGCTCATCGTCCCTCTGCCACCGCCAGTCCCTGCTGCTTGCAAGACACAAGTAAGCAGCCCCCAAAAATATAGTCCGGCCCCCACAAGGTCTGAGGGACAGTGGACTGGTCCCCTTCTGAAAAAGTTTGCTGACCCCTGATCTTCAGGATAAGGCGCACAGATGTAATCAAGAGGGCATTCTTGTTCCCTGGGTTCACACATGCACACTTGATAAACGCATTAAGTGGCACTGCTGAAAATCAATACCACTCTGTGGAAATGTACATAGGAACCAACCCCTCGTCAATGCCCCAATTTGGATAGCAGGTGCTAGGTTGCGTGTTGCCCTTTAAAAAACCACACCAGCTGCTATTTTGTACTGAACACCATTTATGTGGAGGAGAAAACAGCTTTCCTGGAGTTCACATGGCCTGCATCAGAGCATGGAGATAATGGAAAAGAGGCTTCCTTCCTTTCATGGAAGGAGCTGATCTCGAGGGGGAGCTCCTACTGTAGGAAATGGGACAGGTTGGGTTTTTTTGCCAGTCTCCCTTTTCACCTGCAGCCCCCAAAGCAGCTCCCATGCTGTTCCAGTGGGTCAGCCCATCCTCTGGAAGAGCTTTCAAGAGACACAAGGGGTAGGGAAAACTGTGGGGAGATCATGCCCTTTCTTTTAGTGGGAGCTCTTCACGAGAAGAGTTCCAATTATGGGATCTCTGGTTTCCAGCCCTAAAAATCCTTATTATACTTCAAGCATAAGAAACCAGATTTGGCGCTTACATATTATGCAAAATATATTTTATTAACATATCCATTATTTTTTAAGGAGAACCATTCCCAACCCTTCCCTTGTCTTCTCTGTGCATTAAAATGCTCAAAATCTGGGTAAAGTGATGCAGACGGCCGCATTATGCACACAGTTGGATTGTTCCGTTGGATGCTGAAGAATAGCAAAAGTGTTTGCCATGCTCTGAAGCCACAATGATCTTGAAAGCAGAGATTAGTCCATTTAAAAGAAGAATTCTAGGGCTTTAATTGTACATTCATTTCTGCCTAGTGATAATACGTTTTGATAATGCTACAGTTCATCATTGCCTGCATTTTGCAAAATATGTGAAAAGCAATTTCCTTTTTTGAAAGGGTTTTGATTTTTTTGAGGAGGGTAAAGGATATCTGCTCCCACTATCCAAACTGAATAAAAAGGGTCATATGCAGCCTTCTTTTACATGAGCAGGAGGCAACTGATTTGAAACATAAATGAAATTTCACTCCTAAGC